TCTCATAAAGCCATCAGTACCAGTCCTGGGACAACCCATGAATCCATTAGGCCATTAATCCATGAAAAGATTCATCTATTCATAAGGACAGGACCAAATCACCTCCTAAAGGCCCCACTGCTACATTGGGGATTAAGTTTCTACATGAATTTCAGAAGAGACAAACATTCAAACTATAGCAGTGACCCCATCCAACCAGTTGAAGGCCTGAATAGAACCAAAGACTGACCCCACCTCCCAATCCCCCTCCCCCACCAGTAAGAGGGAATTCTGCAGCCACAGCATTGAACCACAACATCGACTTTTCCTGGGTCTCCAGCCTGCTGGCCCACCCTGCAGATTTGAGACTTACCAGTCTCCAAAATCACATGAGCCAATTCGTTAAAATAAATCTCTTTCTTTCTCTCTTTCTCCATCTTACTGGTTCTGTGTCTCTGGAGAACCCTGACTAATACAAACAAGAGAAGTCTTTGATTTTTGAAGGTTAAATAGAACTAATCACAGACATGCCAGAGTCTCGCACCTTTGACTTTTGAAAATGGCAGATGTTTAATCATCTTTCCAACCTAGTCTGCAGTTTCCAGTGTTGGCGGTTCCCTGTCGACTGTCGTGGTCTCCTTCATGTTGGCCAAAGCCTAGAAGTGTAACACCCCCAGATGTGTTCACATTGGTCAAACTGCTGGATAATGAGTGGATGGGACTTCCACGCCTGCTCAAGTCAGGGGAGGGGGTGAATTTCCTGAGTGGGCTCCCTGGGGATACTCCAAGAGTGGTGAAAACCCTGAGTGGATTCTCCAAGAGAAGAGTGACCATTGCCGACCTCATGGCTGGCCTTCAAGGCCCGATTTCAAAGTGATTGCAAAATGAAATGCAATCCACAGAAGAGAAGAAGTTGCAAATGGTAGCAAGCGTAAGAAGATATGCTCAGCCTCATGATGCCAAAGCAAGTCCAAGTTTACACAGCAACGAGCACATTCTGTGAAAACTGGCAGGATTTGAATACAACTGCTGTTTCTCAGCCGTGGAGGGGGAGGGGTCTACAACCCAGACGTGAGGGTAAATTTGAACAACATTTTTTTTTTTTTTTTTTTGAGGCGGAGTCTCGCTCTGTCCTCCAGGCTGGAGTGCAGTGGCCGGATCTCAGCTCACTGCAAGCTCCGCCTCCCAGGTTCACGCCATTCTCCTGCCTCAGCCTCCTGAGTAGCTGGGACTACAGGCGCCCACCACCTCGCCCGGCTAGTTTTTTGTATTTTTTAGTAGAGACGGGGTTTCACCGTGTTAGCCAGGATGGTCTTGATCTCCTGACCTCGTGATCCGCCCGTCTCGGCCTCCCAAAGTGCTGGGATTACAGGCTTGAGCCACTGTGCCCGGCCGAACAACATTTTTAAAGTCAGTTTGGCAATTGTTGTCAACATTTTAAATGTGCATACCCCATGACCCAGCAATTCCTCTTCTAAGAATTTCTCTTATAAAAATGCCTGTGCAAGCTCACAAACATATGTGTACAACGATGTTCACATGACAGCATTTGAGGCAGGAAAAACTGGAGACACAAAACATCCACCTTAAGAGGAATAGTTATGCAAATTGTGGAATCATCATTATAATGGAGTTATGCAGTTATTAAAAAGAACGAAATAGGTGTATGTGTAGGCAGGGAATAATCTCCTTGACATTTTGTTGGATAAAAGAATCAGCCTTCAAAAACTATGTATAGTATGAAACATTTTTGTTAATTGTGTGTGTGTGTGTGTGCTTATGTGCTTAGCAAAATGTCTAGAAAAATACATGCCAGGCTATTAAAGTGGTCACCCCTGGTAGTGTGATGGGGTAGGGGAGTGGGATGAGGAGAAGGCTTTCTATTTTATTGTATACATATCTCTATTACTTGACTTAAGAAATGAGCATATATTACTTAGTCAATAAAACAAAAAGATTTTTTAGTGCTTGCAGCAAAAATGCTGATGTAACTTTAAACCAGGAGGAGCAATGTTAGGGCTTCCTCACTCTGGGAATTGGACTAAAGGTGACTTAGTTTTAAAGGCAACTAGAAAAGGCATTAATTCCATTAATTAATGCATCAGCGGTTTCCATCTCAGCAAAGATGTCTAATGAGGGGCTCGGGGCACCCATTATTTATCTTACAAATGCAGCTCCAGGGTCCTGACCGTGCCAGGCAGTGTAACACACATCCCCGCAGAGGGCTGGCGCTGCAGAAGCTCACGGTCCACCCCCTCCTGCCCACACCCGGCCTCACCCTCCCCTTCTCTTCGAGGATGACCTCTGTCCCAGTCCCACGGACTCCGATTCCTCCACGATCTGGCCCCTCCCCCCATACGTTGCATTCCAGGACTCCCGCAAAGGAATCATTCAGCCTGGACTGCAAACCGCACTCCTACACCTCACTGTGGGCACCTTGGGGGTGTCCTCCAACATCCCCGCCCCGCCCTCTCTCTCGTGGCCTCCTTTCTTTCGAGCTGATGAGGAACTGGGGACCCAGAGTCGGCCTGTGTGAGGCCCGTACAGGTGGCTCCCGCAGTCTTTAGAGGCACAGGGTCGGTCTCCCCAGGCCGACCTGGTAAAATTCCTGCATCTCCTGCAGGCCGCCCTTCTCCGGCTTGGCCGGGGGACCAGCCACTGGACCCCGGGCTCCTAGCCTCCCAATCCCCCTCCCCCACCAGTAAGAGGGAATTCTGCAGCCACAGCGTTGAACCACAACATCGACTTTTCCTGGGTCTCCAGCCTGCTGGC